AAACTTTGACTTTTTACAGGAACTGTACCTTGACGGAAGTTTTCAGTCAGTTTCTCTGAAATCCACTGGATAGCCCTCACACCCAACTTAGTGCCAAAGTTTCTATCAAAGGGAGACGGTGCCCCTCCCTGGAGCGCAAACACACAAGCAGTTAATATATATATGATGAGACTCTCGTCTCTTCCCAGTATATGGAACATTTATAAGTTGCTACGCTGTAATTTCCCAGAGAGGAGGACTTGTGTGGTGGGTCCGTACCTGCTGAAGGTGCCCCAACACATTGACTCTGCAGTCAAAGATGCCCTTCCCCTCTGACGAGTACAGCCGATGGATGAAATCTGTAGTGTAGTTCTCATGGCATTTTTCATTCCTGTTAAGACAGAGAAAATGATCAACAGAGGAAAAACTAAATCGGACAATGTTTGTGAAAACATAGACGAGAAGATGCACATTAGCGTTTGCATAAGATTCTGTGTGTGGCTGAGTGAGTGTTATGCACCTCAGTACGAGACCCCGCTGGATGTCCGTCTTCATTTTCTCAGTCAAGTGATCCACATTGGTCTGTATATATTAAAAAGAGACAGAAAGCTGTCAACACTACAGACAAGAAGAAAATAATCAGCGGAGGGGTTTCTTCTGGTCCCACCTTCAGGTCGTGAATGTTGATGGGGTCTTCAAAGATGTAGGCTGCGTCAGCACCCACAGCGATACCAGTGCAGGTTGCCAGATATCCACAGAACCCCCCCATTGTCTCCACCACAAACACCCGTCTCTTGGTCCCAGAGGCGGACTGCTTGATCTTGTCGCAACCCTGAGGAAGAAAACCAAAATGGCAGAGTGAATGGAGACATTGGCAGTTGAAGTGCACTTACAGCCACTAGTAGTAGCGCTGGTGTGTTGTTTGTGAGCTTTTAATATAGAAGTACAGGGGTGAACTAAAATGCTGATCCAACTTCCTCACTCTCAAAGTTTAAAGATTTAAAACTAAAGCTCTAAACACTCACTGTCAGCCCCGTTTTGACTTGGTACACTGAGTTCAAAGTGTACCTCAGTACTACAGCAGCTCATGTTACGTGCCCTGTTTTCTGGCTTGGTTCCGTCTCTATTCGTGTTAATCCTGAAAACATCAAAGTCACACTGTTAATTTGCCATCTGCTCAGCATTACCTCCATGGCAGCATTGACAGCCGTGTCTGCTCCCAGGCTGAAGTCGGTTCCGGGGACGTTGTTGCTGATGGTAGCAGGGATCACACACATGGGGATGCAGAGCTCATCATAGCGACTCCGGGCTTCAAACAGCTGCAGCACACCTGCGTACCCCTTTGAAAGTCATCAAGAGATGAGAGAACCCTCTTTGATGTAACATTGACGCCATGAAATAATATACAGGTACTACATTTCTGGTTCTTTGGGGTTGTGTCTTATACCTCAAACCCTCCAACGACCAGCAGAGCTGAGATGTTGAACTTGGTGATGGTTTCCACAATCTTCTCCATGTGTTTTTCTGGAAGAGTTCTGAAATAGGACATCAATCATGAATCATTTAAAGACACTCTGACTATTTTTAGTGGCAGCTTGCTAGTCACGGGTTGTCTCCCACAGCCTGTAATACGTTGTTTAAATTCTCCTGTGGCTCTGAATAAATAATAAATCTGATAAAATGACTCAAGTGATGTCAGCCTGGTGTCTGGGGGGAGAATAAACCAGAACATTTGCATTAAAAACTGGGAAGGTTGCATTATGGGAACTGTAACATCTGGTGATTTTGGAAGTTAACACGCAGGATTGATGAAATACTTTATCACAGTGTAGATTATTATGTATATCTAAAAAGGTAGGAATATCAAAATATCATTATATATTGTGATATAGTACATTTTATGAAAAATCAGTTGAGAAAATGTAGAAAATTGAATACCTGACAAATCAAGGTACTTGATCACATTAATCCAAAAATCAAATATGATTAAAAATATAATTACAACTCAAATGTAGCTATGATGCAGACCTGCTAATACATTTTTTCACATTAACCTCAATGGCCAGTACACCATAACATCCATAACACAACAATAATACAACGGTACATGTTGTCATATTGCTTCTCTCCTGCATCAATTTGTGTCTCATGTCTCCATAACTTAAAGGAAGTACAATACTAAACTGTTGAAGTACTCTTAAGATGACCTAAATATGTGTGTATTATATTAACCAGAGTGTCCTGTTCCTCACCGTTTCGTCCCCAGCAGTGAGCCCCCTTGGCCCGTCCATCCCGCCACGCTGTGCCATTTCATCTCAACAACCTGCGGACGGACACGAGTCAGTACTGAACGGTTTCCTCACAGTCTCATAAAAGGCTACCTGTTGCTGAAACCCCCTGCAGTGTGGTATAGACGTAGAGGTAGAAGCCCTCACCTGTCCATTGGCAAGTCCTTGAAAGCCGTCGTGGACAGCGTAGACCTTCTGTCCTTGAGCGAGCGCCAACCTCACAGCAGACCTCACCGCCGCGTTCATCCCCGGAGCCGGAGCGCCCACGTTCAGAACAGCCAGGGAGAAATTGCTCTGAGGGACCACGAGTCAGATATTGATACACACATTTGAATGAAACATTGATGACTCATTTACACGTGTTGGGGCTACTACCGTATGTGTGTGTGTGTGTGTGTGTGTGTGTGTTCATGTTAGTGATAGACTCACCTCAGACTTGATGGGCTTCTGGAAGGCAAGAAGCTTGTAGATTTTCCAATTGTTCTCAAAACTCCTGCAAGAAAATCAACAATAATATGATAAATTATGCACATGATAAAATGAATAAGAATGGTTAAGGTTAATATATTTACAACAGACTATGTTGACATACATCAAGGCAGTTTTGCATTTGAATGTAATGATATATTCTAACTATCTGGTATACATGAAGAATCCTCTCAGCTCTCACCCTCCACGCAGTTTGATGGCCTCATCAAACCTCTTCTCGTTCATGGCAGTCTGCACCAATTTAGTCTGCAAAACAGTACGAAAAATTACAGCGACCTCCCACCATTTCCAAATATGTCCATCAACAACAATCAGAGGAGAGGAGAGCGACTCACCATCTCCACACACTCCATTAGAGGCAGACGAACAGCATGGTTACCCGCCAGGCCGATGGCACACGGTGGAGTGTCGGGAGAGGCCTCCATCAGGGCGACCACTGCCTCCACACCCAACTTACAGCTCTGGCAACACAAGAGAGTCCTCACTGTACAAGCGCATTCACATCAATCACTTCCTTACGCATCAGTAATATATAGGCAGTTTAGATCTGCAGTTAAATGTTCAAACTATTGCTGAATTAATACTTGTATGGCCTCAACATTTTGTTCATGTGTCATAGCAGCATTTTTTGCAGTTGTCCAGCTCACCAGTATTCTGTCGAATGCTGAGGGAGTTCCTCCTCGCTGAACATGGCCGAGTACCGTCAGTCTGGTATCATAACCCAGCCTCTCCACCACCAGCTTCAAACACACATGGGAGCATTTCACCGGGTTATGGGTTATATAGCAGGCACACACACAACAGAGATACTGTGAGAGAACAGTCCTGTACAAACATTTGAGAGGAAGCTCTGAACACTGAACTGCTCTCTGCGAGTGTTGAACATTTGAATTATATTTCAACAACACAGGTATCTGTTACATACCGAATAGACACATCTTTAAACTTACATCTTTTATGTAGGTTGCAGTGATGGGCTTGCCATTGATGTCGATGGCTCCCTCTGCGATGATTATAATGTTGAGTCTTGACCCCTTTATGCGGCTCTGGAGTTAAACAGATGCATACATATCAGCCATAAAATCAGTTAGCACAATCCTGCCTCTATGTACTGTATAGTAAGAGTCAGCAATTTTTCCTAAAATGTTTACATGTATATATTTCTTCTACTTGAAAACAGAGTACCTTCTCTTGTGAATACAAATGTGCGTTGGGCTAGTAAACTGTACTTACTCCCTCTAGACGGTTGCACATCCGGTCCTCCCAGCCCTCGAGAGGCGGAGCCTCTGGAATGAGGAGCCAGTCTGCCCCAGAAACCAGTGCTGACACCAAGGCCAGATATCTGGAGTGACAACACATTTGTTTTATTCAGTGGCAGTGTGTGAAGGAACACAAAGTGTGTTTGAGTGTCACTCACCCACAGTGTCGCCCCATGACTTCCAGAACAAAAGTGCGCTGGTGGCTGTGGGAGGAACACAACATTTATATTGATCCTTTTAGAGCAAAGTATGTGAGCATATAAAACTGAGAATGTCCATATTGTAGCAACATGCCGAGACCCAAGGGAGCAAGTTCAGGAAAGACCATGGACTTCATGCCAAACACACTTTATGGGTTTGTTGAATTACAACAAAACTATTGCATTCCCTCATTACACTATGCAGGTAGAAATACACATTAGGTGTAATACAGGGCTTTAACTAACAATTATTTTCAATATTAATTAATCTGCAGGATATTTTTTACAATCATTATTCAGTTTTCTATAAATTTGTGAACTATGCTCATCATTTCTCTGAGCCCTTGTTTGGTAAGAACTACTGAACAAATGAATATCATGTCATAATTAAACAGCAGCTGTCACCTTTGTGCTGTGGTCATGATCGCATCAATGATCTCCATGATGCGGTGCAGCGCTGAGTCAGCTCCGATGGTCATGTCCGTACCACAGAAGTCATTGTCGATGGAGCCCACAAGCCCCACGATGTTCAGGTGGGCATGCTGCTTGGCCAGAGTGTCTGTGATCCTTCCTGAAGTAGCACACGCGCACACACACACACACACATAGACACACACACACATTTGTGTAGGTCAGCTGATGTCATATGAGCACACCTGGGGGTTTGCAATGAAATATCCTGGCTTCTTTCTGTCGGCTAAACGATGTATAATTCAACGTTGGGTTGTACTTTGCTCCACCATCTTTTGTGTCATCTCGAGATGGTGACGGCAAAAAAGCCAAACTCCACTTCTTCTATACGGTCTATATGTTGTAGTCTATATCAGCACTCATGAAGACCTCTCGTTCAATTAAAGTACTTGGTTGAATAATCGAAAGTATGAATGTTTTTAAATACCTTTGTGGATGATACAGCTATTTATCTGTATTGACATGAAATGATACAAAGCCTGCTCCATAAACTGGCAAATTAAATGATGCCTTAAAGGGCTTTTTCAGCACTTTATTTACTGTATTGTTTCCACTGTGCAGTAGAACATAATGAGGGTTAAGGGCTCGATGACAAATTAACGATGAGAGTACATTACCTTTCTGTACGAGCTCATCCAGCAGACTACTCCACTCATTGCGAAAGATGTTGGCTCCGGTGAGGCTGCCGTCTCCGCCGCACACACACAGGTTGGTAATGCCTTTCTTCACCAGGTTAAAGGCGGCCGCGATCCGTCCCTCATGCGTTGTGAAGGCCTTGCATCGAGCGCTACCTATCACAGTCCCGCCCTGCAGCAGAGGCGTCACACAACAAGTGACAAAACAAATAAAGACAAACGCCACATTGTAATCTGTCACTGAATAATATTATACTAAGTGACAGAAATATGTCTGTTTGCTCTGGCTCTTGATGGTGTTGTTAGTTACAGGAAATATCTGGGATGGAAGATTCAGATTAGATGAATTTCAAGCAGGGATTGGAGACAGGGACAGATTAGTAGTCAAAAAACAGCCATCCATTCCCTATACAGCAGTGGTTCCCAACGTATGGGTCGTGAACATTTGCTCCGTAATTTACTAATGCACTAATTTACTAATTTTGTTTGTGCAACTTGCTGCTTCTACAACTGATAAGGCTTAAACATACAGCAAGGCCCCTTACCAGGTTATAACCAGTATTACACAGGCAGGGAGAGAAGAGTTGAGAGGAACTGGATGAAATAATACAATTCCTGTTAAAACCGTAAAAAAAGAAAGAGAAATAGAGAGAGATATTAAAAACCATAAATTAAGAAAATGAAGACACAATAGGCCTTTTTCACAGAAGACATTTTGACATGTTGATGTTTGAAATAATACAATGATTAATGGTTCTGCTTATAGCATAGCTTGAATAAAACAAAGCCATCGTTAACGTTATTTGTAACACCTGTGCTTTTACTAGAATGACAAGTCAAAATGTCTGCCTTGAAAAAGGCCTATTATAGCTTTTAATCCTGCTGTTAACAGGGACTGACTGACTAACTAGTATAAGCAGAACCATTAATCATTGTATTATTTCAAACATCAA